ACTAAGTCAGAAAAGCCAAAAACCAGAAAAATGTGTATTTCACAAAAATCAAGCCAAAAATGATATTTTTGACAAAAATTGGTATAAAATGTTATTTTTACCACAAACTAGTCATAAACACAAGTTTTGAACAAAATGGGGACTAAAGTGTTATTTTTACTATAATTGGGCCTTAATTGAAAACTTTGTGGCTTATTGGGCCAAGAACGTCATTTTTACAAAAAGTGGGCTTTTTATATCAATTTTGTAAATAATCGAGCTAAAATAAACATAACAATAACAAACGGGTTAAAAACGATTTTCTTATCCTTACTGGGCCTGGAAATAGTATACATGTTTAGTGGGCCTTAGTGTCATTTTACATGTATATTGGGCTCAGGATAGACATTCATATTCCTTTGAGCCTGGAAATAATAGACACGTATAGTGGGCCTTAGTGGTCCACTTACATGTTTATTGGGCCTGGGAATGAGTTTTATATGTTTTTCTTCTTTTTTTGCGTAAACTTTGATTAAGGATCTAGTGAGACTTTTCGTTTAGCACCATATGAGTGTACAAACGTAGTCTGTAGTTATAACCAGAGTCTCCCGGAGAGAGAGCGTGAGTTTGTGTATAGATCTATACGGGGATGACACCCCACACCTGAGCTGTTCGCTACAGTTAGACTAGGCCAGTCTAGGGTGACAAACCTTATTCTATTCCGGCGGCGTCCCAAAGACGCAAAGACAGGCGAAATTGTCATTATTATGTATGGTTATAGCGACTCACTTAGAGGAATTAACGTTATAAGATTTACGGGAAACCATTCTATTTTCTTTTGGGGATAAAACAGGAAACCATTCTATTTTCTTTTTGGGATAAAACGGGAAACCTTCTTTTTGATAAAACGACAATCTATAAGCATCGGTACTCAACCACCGGGGTTAAGATTTCAGCATTATCTATTGCAGACAACATCGGGTTGTCTGGAAATCATTCTCTTTCTATTTTTGTAACCATTAACACACATGCATTAATATAAGATCGGACACAAATATTTCAAACCATTTCTTTTTAGAAAGTATCGGATATTTTTGAAAGCACTTTGAAAACGATTCTAAACAAGTACAAAAACCATTTTTATTCAAAACTGCTTATGAACTCACCAACTTTTTAGTTGACGCTTTTCAAACGACTTGTATTCTCAGGAATTCCAGTAGCAGGTAATAAGTTCGACTATAAGATCAAGTGGTGCGGCTTCAAGAAATTTTACTTTCTTACTTTTGTGTAACTGATGAACAAGATTCAATATGTTAACTATGTAAGTGTGTATTTCCAATGTATGATGTTTGGTTGCTATGTTTCATTCATATTCAATTGTTATGATACTGTACACGAGTCGTCCACCCCCGGACGTTTCCGCCGTCCAGGTTCGGGGGTGTGACACGGGCGAAAGCAGACATTTTTAAACTGAAACATCGGGCGGACATGGCCATCTCTCTGTCTCATGGGCTTCTTGCAGCTCTTCACACTTCTAAATATCCAAAAGGGTACAAAACTGATGCTCGTACTCCTCACTGGGTGTAGGCCATGAAAGATAAACTTGAAGCTCTACGCCGCCACAACACTTTTACCCTGGTTCCTCGTCCCCAGAATCTCAATGTTGTCGGCAGTAAATGGATCTTTCGCACCAAATATCTTGCTGACGGGTCGGTGGATCGTCACAAAGCCCGTCTTGTTGCATAAGGTTTCAGCCAGATACCGGGATTGGACTACTCTCATACATTTAGTCCTATGGTTAAGGCGTCCATTGTTCGTACCATCTTATCTCTCGTTGTTGTGCACAAATGGGATCTTCACCAACTCGATGTCAACAATGTTTTTCTAAACAACTCCTTAGATGAACCTGTGTACATGGAGCAACCACCGGGTTTCCACGATGCTAAATTTCCTAATCATGTATGTCGTTTGAACAATGCCCTCTACGGCCTCAAGCAGACCCCACATGCATGGTTTCATCGGCTTAGCATGTTCTTGGTGGCAAATGTGTTTGTGTGTAGTCGGGTTGATCCTTCTCTTTTTGTGTTCAAAAGAGATGCTTGCATTATGTATTTTCTCGTCTATGTTGATGACTTGATCCTCATAGGTAATCAGGAATCTGTAATCTGTTCGTTTGTCGAGAAATTGCATCTCGAGTTCGCCATCAAAGATCTCGGTCGTTTGAGCTATTTCTTTGGCCTTGAAGTTACTTGCACTGCCGATGGCCTGTTTCTTGGTCAATCCAAATACGCTCATGACATCCTCAAGTGAGCCGACATGCTAGATGCTAAACCGGTCACCACTCCTCTTGCAGCGAATGCAGTCTTTATCACTACCGGCAACCCTTATGGTGGCCCTACTCACTACCACTCTCTTGTCGGTGCGCTTCAGTATCTGACGATTACACGGCCTGATATCTCATATGTCGTAAATCAAGTCAGCCAGTTTCTTCAAGCACCGACCATCTCACATTTTCAAAGTGCTAAACGGATCCTTCGTTATGTCAAGGGCACCATGTCCTTTTGCCTTAACTTCTCTCATCGGAAGGTTCCCTCTACTCTCCTCGGGTTCTCAGATGCCGCCGACTGGGCTCGCTGTCTTGAGACGTGGCGTTCCACTTATGGCTACTCCATCTTCTTAGGCGGTAATCTTATCTCGTGGAGTGCTAAGAAACAACCTACCATCTCCCACTCTAGTTGTGAATCTGAGTATCGGGCGATGGCAAACACTGCCACTGAACTCGTTTGGCTCACTCACCTGTTGTGTTAGCTCCATGCTCTTCCGGCTACTCGCCCCACTTTACTATGCGACAACAAAAGTGCCTTGTTCCTCACACAGAATCCTGTCTCTGATAAGCGTACCAAACACATTGAACTTGACTACCACTTTATTCGAGAGCTTGTCTCTTCCGGGAAGCTTCACACTAAGTTTGTTTCTACCAAGCTTCAGGTAGCTGACATCTTCACCAAGAGCCTTCCTCGTCACCAATTTGAGTTCTTCCGAGGCTTGCTCGCCATTGGTCCTCCACCATTAAGCTTGAAGGGGGATATTAGACGTAACATAAGTAGGTAGTGTGTTTTTTGTAATACTTTTCTTCTATAGGGTTCTGTGTGTAACTTTCTATTCTATTTATTGTGTATTTCTCTGCCTCTCGTGGGTATCAGAGAGTCATTCCTCTCAAAATGCTTACAGTTATAAGGAATGACCTTAAGCTAACGAGAAGACCTAATTATATGCATATGTTGTTAAAAGACCATAATAATGTTTGTTTATTTCTAAGGTTATCCACGCCCATTCTAAACAAAGTACAAGCGTCCAAGTCACTCTAATACATAAATTATGTTGAATTTAACTATGAATTCAAACATCAAACTTAAATTATAAATGATTTAAAACATACTTGGAAAATTTCTTTAACACAATACTTATGTAGATTGCATTATTGCACACCATTCTCTAATAAAATGTTGTTGTCATTTGGATTAAAATCTTGTATGATTTTTCAAAATACACAAAATCCCTTAAGTTTGAGAAAAAAAAATACGGTTTACCCTAAGTTCAAATTTATGTTTGTATTTGAGAAGTTTTTGTCATAAATGGATTTTATCAAAAAAAATTTAGAACAACGGGATTATATAGAAACCCCAAACTAGCAAGACATTAGAGAAAATAGTCAAAACAAAATTAGGTATTAATCGACTTTTATCAGGTTTTACCCTTCATAACTGGTCACCCATGTCATGTATGAAGCGTATGTGACATAATTAAGCCGAGTAGGATGCCATGTAAGTGAGATGTGGTCAAGTATTGGTTTGTGTGTATTATTTGTTGTATCATGTATGTATGTGTTGTAGGTATTAATCTAGTATAGATAAAAGAATGATTTTGAATTTTTTTTTTTTTTTTTACAGATTTGGAAGAGATTATTAGAAAAAGCTTATTAACAAGAGAGTTTTTTGAGATTTAATTTGAAAACACAATTGGTGCACTGGGATGGTGTGCAATGTGCATGATCGTGGTGGCTTGCAACCGTGGCCATGAACACTTACATTGTAAGTACTCCAAATGGCCTAACTCTAAAGGATCCACCCGGTAGTTTAAATGACCGCAAGAGAACATTGTCTTTGCAAGTCATTTTCATATATTGCCCGCCTAATGTATATTAACTTCTCTCTATTGTCCAATATTCCTCATAATAGAAGCCATATGATACGTGAACATAATAGATGTTACAAACTCCCAATATGGGATGTCACCAGCCCATGTCTTAAAGGAACATCACCGGCCCACACATCTTCCCAATATCTTCTTGAAGAACAAAATTTTATATCGAACATAATTTAATAAAAAATGGAAATCTGTTAAAAAAATGCAACAATAGTTTTATATTCTTATGCTTGATTTATTTTTTCCTAGTTCCACACAACATTTAAAATTCCAAATCCATTGTTATTTTATTAAAAGAAACATTAAATTTTTGTTTGTATTTTATACATGCCACATAAAGAAAACAATATGAAAACAAATATTGCATATAATGAAAAACAAATATTCTAATAAATGATTAGTTAACATAAATATATTTATTTTTTAAAATGCAATATATCCTATTGAAAGCACAAACTGAACTCACCTGTATATATACAACACCCTTGTGTGAATAAATCTAACTACCTTCAAAACAAAAGTAAGACTGCCACCAATTACTCGAAGTTGAAAGAGAAAGTTGTAAGTAATGTCCTTTTACTAATTAATTTTGTTTTATTTTTTATTTATTTTCTTGAACATTGGTGTACAAGGAATATTATATTCTACATTTAAATAAAAATCTTGGTTATTTTCTTTGTTCAAGATGTTTAAAAAGAATTTGATTAATGTCTATTCAACTTTGTTTTATAACTAAAAAAAACTAACTTTGTTTTAAAACATTTCTTATAATTTGTTTGGTTAATATAGATGTATGTTTTAAAATTTTAATTGTTTGTGTTACCTTTTCAGAAAACATTAAACATGACGACTCCGGTTAAATATACTTTTCAAATTGATTCGTTCAATAATTGTGATAGATCCGTACGAAAAGTCAAAAAGACACTTTTTGAACTTGATGATGTTATACTAATAGCAGTGAACGCTAACAATGGGGAAGTCACCGTCATAAGTACTTCTCAATCTCCTGAAGCAATCAAATCTGCTCTTGAGGGTGCATTTCCAACAGAACAAATCTTTCTATTACAAGAAACTGTTCATCAAGATCCACCATCTACTCTTCACACACAACAAAACCCTGATCAAAGTTCGTTTGATCTTGCTAGTGTGGCTAGATCATTGCCAATTGCATCTGATCATGTTGATGGGTTACAAAATGTGGAGATTGAGTGTAGTAGGATCAACCAATCAAGTACTTCTACTTCTGCATCTACAGTTAACAATACTCCTCCTGCACAATCATCATCAAATATTCAACAATTAGAGAACTATAGTGTGGCTAGATGATGATTAACTCAAGATCAAGATTATAGCTAGTTATCCGACTATATATATTAAAGGGAGTGAACAAGTTTATATAATTTTATGTTTTTTAATATGAACTAGAAAGGTGACCCCCGCAAGGTGTCGCTTTTGTTTGGAAGTATAGTAAATTGTTCTAATTTGTAGCTACAGTAAAGTATGTTGCGATTGTCTACGTTTCGCTCATTTACAAATACACAAATATGTTGTAGCACATTAGACTTTCAACTATACCAGATAAAGTATGTTGTTATTCTCTTTCGTCGAGCCCCGAGCTTGTGGTCCTCCTTTGAGTTTGGGTTCAATTGGATGAATCTGTGAAGTGAAGGTCAACGTACGTAGCAGGAAGGCTATATAACATTAGCATAATAGCATAAAAAACAGAAAGCAACAATTTAAACTGATTAAAAAAAATTAGTTAATTATACCTTCATGTGTCCATCCATACCTATCGCAGCTGCAACAATCCCCAAACCACGTTAAGACAGCTTCATGACAAGCTTTGTAGCATAGGCTCTAAGAACTCTCTTAAAGAATTGCCACCCAAAAATCACAGATTTTTCGATTATTATAATGAAAAACCACAATATAAATCCCGAAATAAAAATCTTTAATATTCCTAAATGAAAATATAGTAAGAACTCTCTTAAAGAATTGCCATACACTACCATCACTAAACATGACCAGCCATACACTACCATACAATACCTGTTTAGACATGTGGACAGATCTTGAGCAAGTGTTGTCCAGCCTTTTTGGGACAGGAAAAAAATTGAAACTTTTGTCTCATTGATCTCTCATATTGATCAAAACCCTTAAATGAAAAAATATTTATTTTAAGGATGCTCCTTTCTGATGAAAGAATGTAATATTGGAGGGAAACCAATAAAGGAAAAAAGTAAGAAAGAAAGCAGACACTGATTCCATCAAAGAAACAGTCAATTCCCATATACAAACCGACCAAAATTACATTTACATCTATCCATAAATTGTACGACCCATCAAAGACATAAGTTTTTTTTTTTGAAAGTTTACATACGAACCTAGTGATCCATATGTTTCATCTGCAACAGAAGTTGGACATTTAGTTTCTAATTTATATTTTTCTTTTTCATGATTTTCAATAATATATTCATGCTACTGTCATTTTTTGACATAACAAAACATTTAATATAAATTTTTTCTAACAAAAATTGAAATTACATGAGTATTTTAACAAATCACTATAATAGTTTTTAAAATTTAAACAATCAGAATTTGATATCATGAATAAATAATTCGTTACCCAGTAACAAAATTTAAGATTTAAAAAAGACACATTTATTTGTTTTAGTAAAACAAATGGAAGTGAATAGTACATACATATTTTTACTGTCACTGTGACCATTTGAATAATGAAGATAGCATATTGATAGCAATGAAAAAAAAGTAAAATCGGTGCACCCGTGGCTTGAACCCATATTGCATGGGTGACAGGGTGAGTCATAGGCAGAGGCCGACATGTCTACTTCTATAGCGGCAGCGGGAGAGCTGTTGGCTTAATGATTCTTCACTACAGTTGGTAGAACACTTGGTCAATTTTATGCAGTGCTATAACTGACTGAATAAGTATGCATTCGAACTATGAGTGTGTTAAAGTTTGTGTGATATCTATTAACCAATTTCAAGAACAAAATGAGACATGCCAACAGAAATGGCTTTTCAAGTCATTCTATAATTTAGTAAGTGAAATAGTGAATAAACAATATGCCAATGGAGCTGATATAAAAACTAAATTTAAAAGAATGACACAAACGTTTTATTTAAAACTTACCAATTACCAGATGGAGATAACAGGAAACAAAAGATTGTTTTATCCAACATCAGAACCTGAAGAAAACATGTTAGAAATTACTGAAAAAAAACGGTTTACATCAGAAACTTGATTTCCCCTCAATCTGCGTTGACTTGTGTTTCCCGCTTCACGATAGACACCCTCGAGCGAGACCGCCTTTCCTTCGCTGTCGTCCATCTCCGACCGGAAACCATCAAGTTCTTATCATACAAAAATTAGACAATCCTTTTTACAAACAAATTAAGTTTACAAATGGTTGTCTGCGAGAAGAAAAACAAAACAACAATCCAACAGAAATCGAAAATCATATGTAAAGTACAAACAACATACCAAAAATCAAAATCCCAACAGATGAGAGATGGTTGTCTGCGAAAAGAGTCCCAAAATCGAAAGGAAAAAAAAAAAGCAAATGATACCATTCTGGACTTTGGCGACGGCATCCCAAAAGAAACCGAACTTCGAGCCGTAGGCCGAAGCGGACTTCTCGTATTGAACCGGTGGCGGAAGGACCGGAGGAGCGGATTTCATCGGTGGAGAGTATTCCACGTGAGTAATGAAGGACCCGGGTAACCCATCCGATTAACCGGAACAACCATGACATAAGAAACGAACCACACAGTGACAACAAAGAAATAAAAAACAATACGACAGCAAAAGAAATAAAATAATAGCAGCAGATGAAGATTACCTGGGACAGAAAGAGGGAAGACTGGGAAGAAAGAGGGAAGACTGGGAAGAAACAGAAGAAGACGATGAAGGAAAAAGGAAGAGAAAAGAAAAGGATATTAGGAAGGGCAACAAATAAGTCAAACAATCATATAGATAAAGATGGTGAAACACAATCACATACACGATCACAAACAGAGACATTAAAACAAATATATAGCATATTCCATGTGAAGATGTGAACAATCATATTATCATATCTAGAGTGCTGAACAAAACAAAACCCAACATCGACTCAACTTTTCAATAGTTTTAAACCTAAACCTAATATTGAATCAATGAGCATATTGCCTGTGAAGATGTGAACAATCATATTAAAAATTTGCTATTCGAAAGAAATTAAAATCAGCATATTTTTTAAACAAAAAATTTTAATCACTCTTGAATACAAAACATTTGGATAAATATTTGTGGGTAACCTGCAATTCAAAATCTGACAAATGCACACACACACACACACAAAAGAAAAAAAAACTCGAGAAAGTAGATGCAATCACTTTGTTATGTATTTTTTTTTACCAACAATCTGAATATTCATAAATACCACAATAATAAGCAATAATTATGTAAGCAATGAGAAATTATAATCTTCTTATGAAATATGAATTATGGACCTGAAAGTATGCAAGAGCTATTGAAGTTCTGAATCTCCAGCGAACAGAGCAGTTTTTGTCATTAGTTCAGCCTCAAATTTGAAGATCAAATTAGTGTAAAACACTGGTCAATTGATCTTTATCTACATACCAGAGAGAGAGAGAGAGAGACTCACCTATCCAGCACCCACAGCTTCTGCACTCTCACCAACCATTCTGATAACCTATCCAAGGTGCTTTTTCCTGAATTCGTGTTCATAAACTAAGTTGAAAATGAAATACGATCTAAAAAGCATTTTCAGATCTGAAAAGGACTTGATTACTATGTGTAATTAGATCAGAGAGCTTGAAAAAAATGGAGTTTTTGTTGATTGTTATGAACTAAAACTACTAACCTGAACCACTGAGGCCAGTAATCCAAACGACGCAACCTTTTTGCTGAAGCAACTCCTGTCTGTCCATTTTCTCTACAGAACATTTATGCCAAACGATATTCGTGGATCGCTTTCCCTTTGTTGAGATTTCATGACGAATCGAACCTACTTTTCATGAAATAGTTACAGAATATTCGAGATAATCAACTTTATAATTCGCATCTGTTACAATTTAGTACCATTCAAATCATCCGAATTGGTGATGATACCACTTTCATTCGATTTGACTTCAATACCGGATTTTAACGAAGACATTCGAGGAGACTCCTTTGCTTTGATATGCGACAAGTTCGTCGACGGTGACGTTAAGTTCCGACGGCAATCTAGCGACGTTGCCGGGAAGTTCACGAACCCTACCTTCGTCGATTGGGGAAGATGAATTGAGAAAGTGGCGGTGGAGAAGGAACTGGAAGAATCACAGTGTCAATGGAAGGATCGGGAAGTAAAAAGCTTTAACCTGTAGTAACCCGATGAACAGTGTCAAGGGCGGTGCAGGCGAGGTGGAGGAAGCGGAGGGTAGAATCGGAGGTTTTTTGGTGCAATCGATGCTCCAAATGAAAAGCGGGAGCGGTCGGAAGCATCAAGGTGCGAACCAGGGGGAGATGATGAAGAAAGAGACGTCTATGATTTGGAGAAAAGGAAGATGATAGAAGGATCAGGAAGTAATACCCTAACCACAGTGGTCACCCGAGGAACAGGACCTGGTCAGGTAGTGTCCAGGGGGAGAAAACGATAATATATAAAGAAATGACAATCAAAGCAATATAGAGGGACCGGATATGTAATTTAAGGGACCAAACATGGACAAACTATGCCAAGTTTACTGTTCTTTTCCTCCACAATTTTAATATATATAATAACTAGGTGTAAGACACATGTATTACATGGGTTCATTTAAAAAAATTATATATAAAATTCTAAATATTTGAGAAGTTGAATTTATAAGAAAAATAAAAAAAAAATATTGAATTATTAAAATTAAAATGTTTTTTTTAATTTAAACAAATAATTTAGATAAATAAACAAAGAAAACTAATGGGCTTTAATTTAAAATTTTTGAAATTAGAAAGAAAGTCAATTAATGAAATTGAAATGTCTTTATTATTATATTTATTGCAATTAATATATTTAATAGAAATGAAACAACCATAAAATGCCATGTGGAAAACATTTAATTGAAAATAACCACAAAATGACATGTGGTCAAATCAATGAGAGTATGACAAGTGGCAAAAAGTTCTTTATTTATTAAGGAGGATAAGACACAACTTGCAATAAATTAATGAGATTAAGACAGAAATAGCATTATATATGATTTATGATGATTGAATTTTTTTTCTCTTTCCTCTATAACATAGTAATCTCCATGTTTGATACAATTGACTGATTGACATTTATATATATATATATATATATAGAGAGAGAGAGAGAGAGAGTCAAGATCAAATAAGAAGGAAATTTTTGATAGGAAGGTAAGAAGTTTTTTTTCTACATATTTTTTTCGCGAACAAACAAAATGAATCATTAGATGATTCATTTGTAAGATGATTCACAAGAAAAAATTCTCAAAAAAACATCGCAATAATTCATTTATACAATGATTTTGTTGTTATTCACTAAAATTGTCATAAAAGTGAATTTTTTATTAATTTACTTAAAAATGAATCATAAATATGTTTTTTTGGGAATTTTTTTTGTGAATCATCTTACAAATGAATCATCTAGTGATTCATTTATTTTATTCGTCAAAAAAATATGTAGAAAAAAAACTTCTTACCTTCCTATCAAAAAAAAAATTTATCGGATCTATATCCTATACAGACAAATCTCGAGCTTTTTAATGTTATGCTAATTTCTTGCCTTTTATTGCTAAAACCTTTAGGAATAAATACATTTATATACTTTGGCCTACATATAAATAACCGGCTAGTTTTATTTGGAGGACAAAAAGTTACTTAATTTCTTAAAGCTCGTTAGATTTCCAACAACCGATGCTGAATTTAATAATTAAACTTCATTGTCAATTTTCTCTAAGGAGCACATAGTTAGATCACATATATTTATAGATGATTTGTATACAACAAATTTCTTCCATACACAAAAAATTGTATTTTAAAATGTTGTATTGTACAACCCTTTAAAACATAAATTATTGTGTATGGAAAAAAGTGTTGTGTATTAATTAATCACTTTCATTACTGAGGCTCACTTTTGGATCACATGTCAACCTAATATAGCCAACCCTTTGGCCTTATATTGCATATAAAAGTATACATTGTATTGTAAAATTATGTTTAAAGATGATGAGAAACACTACAATCAATATTGCATCAAAGATTCTCCGATCCATCTTTTCTTTTTTCTCTCGTAAAAATCATCCTCTATCTTGGTCGCGTCCTTCCTCGCGCTAACACCTATTTTACATGCCCTCTTCTCCTTTTGGATCAACATGATGAGCACGCCATCTCACCCTAACTAGGTTTTCAATGTCACCAACATCAAATCCTACATACCTCTTATGTTAGATTTCGATCGCCTCAATTATGGTGTGATGGGAGCTCTCCTCCTTTCATGGCATTGGGTTTGATGTTATTGAAAACATAAATGACACCTAAAAAGAATCGGCCCCAAAACCTAAGGATCCTGAATGGCAAAAAGTCGACACGATTTCTAAACTTTGGATCTATACACCATTTCTAACATGGATGAGTTTCGAAGATGATCATCAGTTTTGAATGGGTTCTTCATGTTCAAAATAATATTTGCATCTAAATGAACTACATATGTATGTTTTATAGATTATTCTACTATACAAAACATGCTAATACACAAAACCAACAAATACAACCTTAAATTTAGCACGAAGAAGTTTGAAACTAATCAAAAAGTTTTCCACTTGTTCTTCCCGAACAAAACCCTAATTTGAAGGAATAACAAGTTAGGTAAACTTTAAACTGGTGAATACATAAATCAACCTATCATCTTTCTTATTAGTATCATTGATTTATATCTATGAAAAATAAAAATAAAAAGTTATTTAAATTTACGATAAAAATAAGTATGTAAGTACAACCTAAATTAAATCCTTGGTTGATTAAAAGTTTTTCTGTAAGAGAAAACAAGATTAGAGTATATTATTATTATTTGTATTTTAGCATGTCCATTTATAACACGTTGGTATACAAGGTTAGGGAATTCAATATCGAGCAACTACATAGGTCTATAATTTACTTCGTGAAAATTAATTCAATAATCATAGTGGCGCAACGAAAGCATGGTGGGTCCATAACCCACAAGTCGAAACCTGGATATGATAAGAGTAGCTTCCGTTTTGTTTTTTTACTAGTTTATCCATGAGTAAGTTACACGAATGGTCCTTATGGTTTAGGGTAATTTGCGCGTTTAGTACCTAGCTTATTTTTTTAACTCGGAAGATCCCTACTGTTTGTTTTTGTTACGCGCTTGGTCTCTGTCTTACTTAAAAAAACTATTTTGCCCTTGATTTTTTAATTTATTTAAATAAACACACCCCACCTCTCCCACTTTACCTTATCTACCACACCATTTTTCCTTATTTAAATAATGGTCTTTTTAGGTAAGATATGGACCAAGCGCGTAACAAAAACAAACAGTAGGGACCAAGCACGTAACAAAAACAAATAGTAGGGACCTTCCGATTTAAAAAAATAAGTTAGGGACCGAACGCACAAATTACCCCAAACCATAGGGACCATTCGTGTAATTTACTCTTTTACCCATGCATACATCTAGGACATCATTTCACATATTTTCCATTGTACTTCATTAGTTGGTCTCTTTACCATATACTAGTAATCAACTAACAAACATTTCATGATCCGAAAGTCAAAACAATTAATTTGTTGGATATAATAACTTAAGAAAATAAAATTTAAATTTTCAAAAAAAAATATATATATATGATTATATTAATATTCCAATGCATTTGACTATTTAATCTTGAACAAAATTTTATATTTTAACCACTAAACCCAATAAAGATTAAACCTATCAGTTAATGGGTATGAAACCATTTTAGTAAAAGATTTTATTATGTAAAAAGTAAAAACCAAACGAAAGGCTCATATAACGTTACATAGTGAGTGCACGTCAAATGTGCCGATATCTAGTTAATATGACCAAAATTGCACATTAATGGTATGATGCATACAACAGTGTGCTTATGGCTTGTAGCATGCTCATATTCCAAAGTAAAAGTAAAGTTGTAGCAAAGAATAAAAAGATACTTCTTGAAATTAACTTGTTACATAGAACCTTTTGCATGTATTAAGCTATTGTGACTGAATATAATGGGATAAGAAATAATATTTCTGTCATCCATCCTTCGTATCATTATTAGAAAGTTTGTACTCTTCCATGAAACTGTTATCGTCTCGCTAGTTGTACTTTCAGATCCATTATAATTACTTAGACATATTATGAGTGATGAGTCAACTAGTGGTTTCACGTGTACAAACTTAAGATTATTAAGTTGTTTTTGATAAGGCCCATGATCCAGATCTCTCTCATGTGGAGCGTCTATTCACATATGACACATAATATTCTTATATTTTACCAATATCTGTGATTATATTCTCATCAAATTATCAAATGTTAATCGCTTATATTATAATGAAATTTTTTATAATTTCTAAACCTTATATCATCTATCCAAGGCTTTATAGGCTATAGCCCAACCATGTATTTTGTTATGCATATATCAAGATAGCAACCGGTGAGTAGAAGACTATTAGACCAAATGAAGTAGGTTGTGGCAACGGTGAAGTGAAGTCTATACGGAATGGCTTTGCTACGGTGAACAACATTATGTTGAATGGTATGCGTCGCATGGAAAGAGAACTCGACTCCTTAATGTCAAGCTCTCTCTCTCTCTCTCTCTCTCTCTCTCATGGCAAAATGTAAAAATTGATATACATTTGTGGTGTATGGTATTCCTGATGGTAAAATGAGGTGGAACTCGACAAGAGCTCCCCTTACTCCTTCTAGCCTTATGGATCTAAACTAGAAGTGTTTAGAAGATGTTACTTGCATAAGTTATAGGAATAACAATTAGAAGATAATCATATCAAGCTTTTATTTTCACATATTTCAAATTCTTTCTTTTTATATTAATTAGGTTCGTCGATTTCAAAATATTATAGATGATACTTTGCACCCATCGGAGCACCTTGCTCCGATATTCATATCCTATGATTTTTGTGATGAACTCCTGGAATATAAAACCTGTAAAGATATTAGAGAAATAAAAATTATGAAATATGATGTCATTTTTTAGTGAAAAGTGGAAACTACTCAACAAACAATTTCGACTATTTGCAGGTTTTTTAATAATGATGTCACCTGTTTTCAATATTGGTTTAGCTTAAGCAGGGGCGGAGCTTCAACATTTAATTCGGAGGGGCCGAAATTATAATATGTATAAAAATTGGTAAGCAGGGGGGGCCACAACCAAAGTTTTATATTTTTTTGGGTCTAAAATGTATAAAATGGAACTAGAAGGACTATATCAAACCAAAAAATCAGGGGGGGCCACAGCCCCCCT